CATCCCTGTGATTGTTGGCACATTCCATCTCTGTCAATGTCGGCAGTTGATCCGCTCCATCTCTGTGACTGTTGGCGCTTTGGTTTGCTCCATCCCTGTGACTTTTGGCGTTTTGATTTGCTCCATCCCTGTGATTGTTGGCACATTCAAGACCGCAGCAGCGTTGTATTTTCATGTATTGTTCCTATTTCATCGAGCGAGAGGAATAGTAGTTCGCCAATTGCGGGCTGGAGATACTTTCAAGCAGCTGCGTGTTGATTCAACACAGAGAAGCAGCCGGAGAAGCAGACGGACAATCATAAAGTTAGGAATTCGCTGTTCAATGCTTGGTACATGTAGGTGGGCAAGCCGTACTCACAATAGGCATGCTCCATTTGGACCGTTTGCTCCACATGTTCCTTTGCATCATTGCACAGCGCATTGCCAACCTTATGATTGAAGCTTGGAGATTTTGCATGATTTGCACGTTGCCAACCTTATGTTTGACGCTTGGAGGTGTTGCATGATTTTTTGTCATGAGTAGGGTCCCATGAGGGTAGCTGCCCGCAACCATGTTTGTCTGTGAGCAGACGCTCTCCCAATTTCAAAGACATGAAAACATGCGTGTGTGAGCAGGGACTATTCCCAGTAACAAACACGTGTTTTTGAGCAGGCGCCATCCCCAGTAACAAGACTTGAAAGCATGTGTGTCTGCGAGCAGGCGCCATTCCCAGTAACAAGACTTGAAAGCATTTGTCCCTGTGAGCACGCGTTATTCCCAGTTACAAAGATTTGAAAGCAGGAGTGTCTGTGAGCAGGCGCCATTTCCAGTTACAAGACTTGAAAGCAGGAGTGTCTGTGAGCAGGCGCCATTTCCAGTTACAAGACTTGAAAGCATGTGTGTTGGTGAGTAAGCGTCATTCCCAGTGGCAAAGATTTGAACGCATGTTTTGTGAGCCCAGAAGCGCTGTGTGATTTTTTATAGAAAGGCTTCTCCTAAACCCTAAATCCTAAACCCTGAGTCCTAAACCCTAAACAAATAGAAAGGGTCTTCAGAAGGACCCGTCAGACGGCAAAGATTTGAAAACATGTTGTTTTTGACCGGCAAGGCGTTGTGTTATTTGTTGAAGAAGAGTCCATATGAAGCTGCAGCTTGCGTCAGTGAGTGTGCGCCATTCTCAGTTCGGTTGCAAAGTAAGTTTGGGAGTATTTCAAGTTTAGGGAGCTTACCTCACCTATAATCTTTCTAGGAGCCCCCAAAAAGCCTCCCTAAACTTGAAAAACTCCTTGCAGCGAAACAAAACTGCAACCTGTGTCTGTGAGCAGGTGCTGTGCTCAGCTGCTGCAAAGTAAGTCTGGGAATATTTCAAGATTAGGGAGCTTGCCTTTTCCATAATCTGTATAGGAGCCCCCATAAAGTCTCCCTAATCTTGTAAAATTCCTTGCAGTGTACATGCCACGGCTGTGATTCCAAAGATAATATATGGTTTTTAATAATGACCTCCCAAAGACGTGCGCGTCAGTTCTGCAAAAGGAATGTTTCAAGTCCCCTGCTGCTAAGATTGAACCTCGCCATTGTTCGTAATCAGCTGGCACCCTTCTCAGTTCCGCAAAGCTGTTTTCAAGCCCCCTGCTGCTAAGATTGAACCTGGCCATTGCTCGTGATCAGGTGGCACCCTTCTCAGTTCCGCAAAGCTTGTTTGTGCGCGTCAGTTTTGCACAAAGACTGTTTCAAGCACCCCGCTGCTCAGATTGAACCTCGCCATTGCTCGTGATCAAGTGGCATCCTTCTCAGTTCCGCAAAGCTTGTTTGCGAGTGCTTCAAGATTAGGAGGCCCTCCTCTCTATGATCTATTTAGGAATCCCCGAAAAAGCCTCCTAATCTTGAAAAAACCCCACAAAGTAGACGCCGCGGAAGAAAAGCTTTAAGCCCCCCCTAAACGCAAGTTCGAGCAACTTTACCTCTTCAAGCGGATCTTGGGCGTCCAATACTGTTTGAGGTCGCTTTTGCAAGCCAGAGATTGCCATGATCCGTCAGAGTCTCATTCAGAACCGTGTTTTTTCGACCGCCAACTTTTTGAGAAACTTTGCTTGAGGTCATCCTTGTGACTGTTGGAAGCAAAGGCGTGAACACGCCGATGCTGCTCCACGTTTTGTGGAACCGCAATTTTGCAATCGTCTTGGTGCTGCCATTTTCAGATAAGGGGCAACATCAAATTTTGACACTTTCCGGGCTCGGGCAGCTGTTGCTGTCGTTTGGAAAAACTGCAGTCTTATACGCTCAGTGGGTGCGCCTGCGCAGTGTGAGCTTGCAGTTCATTGCCCGGCGGGCTTACAAGCGCAGCTAGGGCAGTAAACGTTGACTTCTTGTTCGTCATCCGCTAATATGGTGGATGATGGTGATAGGGCACCAGCGCCGCCTCCACCTGCGCCTGCTGGGCAGGACGAAAGTATTATCCCCTCATGGTGGTTTCTTCTTGACCGGCAAGATTCTCACTCAAAGTTATCACCTATCAGGATGTTTTCCTGTCTGTGTGCAGTCATGCTTGTGGTTGGGTCTTGGGCCCGTAAATCCAAGAATGTACAAGCAGTGTGGTGAGGAACTGTGGAAGCGCAAACAAGCCTCAAACCAGCAACCAATACCATGGGACATTTAACAGGCCCCGTGCCGTATATACTGTAGGGATTGGGATCGCACTGGCCCTTCTTGGGATACTATTGAAAGGCACATTTTCATTTTCCTTTTTGGTTCCGTAGTCAGGACAATATTGATTGACGTTATTTGTGGGTTGATACAATACAAAGATATACAAAGTAAGAATGATATCAATGATAGAGTTTGGAGTTGTTGCCACTACAAGTAGCGGTTGTCTTAAACGTCCTTTTCGGAAGGACCTTGCTCTTTGTTGAAGGCCGCTCTGTCACATGAGCTATAGACCCAAAGCCAAGGTCAACCACCAACCCCCACGACAAGCACCACTGTGGGAGACCGAACACATAGACAATGGCTCCGTGGATTCTTCCGCGAATCGAAAAAAAACCTGCATGTGTAGACATTGGGGCTGACTTCCGGCCAGGAATCCGACCATCGTCCGCGAAATGCAACACCAAAATCAAGGACAAAACTACAACACAAAAGTCAAAAGCCCCACAACCCCCAAACTCTACACTTACCAAACCTTCTGAGCCCAATAGCCGTGTGATCCCTTTTTCATCCCCGCATAACCCTGGCGCCTGACTGGCTAATTTGAATACCCTCTTTTACGGAAACCAACAACATTCCAAGCTAGCTTCGCTCGCGGCGGCTGCCGCGGCAAGCGCGCCAGGCGCAAAACAGCCAGCAAAGCACCAAGACCAGCACACCAGCGAGCAGGTATACCCTGAGCTTGCTGGCTTCTAAGATTGAAGTATGGGATACAGGGACGTAGTGGAGTCTAGGGCTAGAGTAAGGAAGAATCTAGGATATACTCAGAAGAGCGCTAAAAACTAAGGGCCCGTTCTAGGGGCCCACACTGCACTTCAAACCTTTCGGGATTACCTTCCTAGGTCTGAACCGAATCTTGCGTCAGCGTTTAATTGTAGGCTTTATAGGTTAGCTTGCTTGAGGGTTGACGTGAGGCTTTAGGGGTGGGAGTGGCGTTAGGGTTCAGGGTAATTCAATTGCATCCTCGGCTTCCCGCTGCTGTGTTGGCCCATGAGGAAAATCCAGACTCAAAACAGACCCCTAGTCCTCAAATTCCTTGGGTTTTTGCTGTTGGTTTAAATTTAGGTGCCACTTCAAGGCGCTAGCCTGCCCCAAACTGACACAACACTATGGGGCATGCTGGGGGTAGATGGGAGCATGTTCAGCTTTATAGGAATAATGTAAGGATACTGTGGGGTCTTCGCTGCCCCAAACTATGACCTCGAAAGGTTTTTTCGAGGGGCCCACGCAGCCTCAACATTCGTATAGGGCAGAAAAATCCTCCCGTGATTCTTTAAAGATAAGGTAGCAATTTCCAATATCTTGCTTGCACGTGTGTAGGATTCATGACCCAGATCGTAAGAGCAAAGGAAGGGCAATCACGTGTAACACAGTGTCCATCTTGGTGGGCTAGACCCCAAGCCGTAAGTCTCCAGCTGTCAAACCTCTGGGTAATGCGCAAGTGCTAAACCACATTAATTAAATACTTTGCAACATTGAGGCGTTGTTTTGTGAGGCCTCCGTCTGTGACACCTGTCGCGCTTCAGCCTGTGTATACCCTACTGTTGAAAAGCTCCCTGTGCGAACTTCTCCCCCTACCCAGAATGGGAAGCAGAAAACAAACTCAGGCACCGCATGCTCTGCAGCTCGGAAATGCAGGATGAACTGCTTTTTTAACGCTCCCAAGAATTGGTTCCTGCAAGGACACTCTGGGGTTGGGCCATCCCCGGAGCCTTTGGGGTTGCGCACTGCAGGGACACTCTGTAAAGGGAGTAAAATGAGAGCCCCAATAATATAGTAAGAATTTTATGGGGCTATCCCTATTCCCATTACATTCTTGCTACATTGTTGGGGTTCCCTGTTTGAGGTTCCCATTTTACTCCCGGCTGGGCTCTGAAGGAGAACGGTTGGATGCCCCCTGGACATGGGTGACCGGGCGTGGGAGAATGTCTTCGTAAAAACAAACAACCTTACAAACGGGGCAGGGAACAAAGCTTGCACAGGGATCTCGTTACAACAACTCACTGCAATTGGTAACTTTTCAGTAACTCCAAACCCCAAATGAGGTGTCCCTCGCACTGCTAGAGTAAGAACCATAAGCCAGGCAGATGCCCCACTCCTTCCGCTAGAGCCCTCATCGGTTTCAGGGTTTACGACAAAATTAGGGGTATGATAATGGAGAATCAAATGGAAAAATGGGAAATGGGGGGTATAGAGAGGTTATCCGGCAAGCCAACTATAAATACATACCTCAGGATCAGCCTCCGTAGGGTAAGAGTCCTTAGTATTCAATATGACATATGAGCTACAGTCATTATTTGCTACATAATCTAATGGACATGGGCCCCGCAGTAGGGATGATATTAGCGAGTATCCTACACTCAAAGAGGGCCCACTACAGTATGTCCACTGTCAAGGGCCCCTTAAACAGGTTCATGTTGACAGTAGCTCATATGAGTAGTACAGAGTCTAAGCCCCTAGTATCCCCTTAAATAACCCCTGTAGTAATCCCAGTATAATCCCCTCTAAAACCACCCCTTAAGGAGTTTAGACTACAAATCATACATATAAACCACTATATAACCCTAGATTCCATTTAATTTTCGCATTTTCTTTTCCATTTGATTCTCCATTATGGGATTAATATCCCTAAACCCTAAACCCTAATCCCTAACCTTAAAGCCTAAACCTAATTCCTAAACCCTTTTCAGGATGCATGGTACCAGACTCAGTCCCCCCATGAACGGGCATACTATGCCTCCTGAAAAGAGTTTATGGTCTAGGGTCACGGTTTAGGGATTTAGGAATTAGGGAATTAGGGTTCAGGGATTGAGCATTTACAGCTTTGGGAAATAGATGTGCATCTCTCCAAACCAGGGTCCGATTCACCCAGCCCAATAATCGAGAATCAAATGGAAATGAAGATGGCAAATAACCCTAAACCCAACTTCTGGCGTTTAACAACTGTGGGATTTAGGCGGCCGAGTCTAGGAGAGAAAGTTTGGGGATTAGAGTGTGGGTATGCAGTCGCTGTTTATGGGGGCTTCTTGGGAACCTTGGCGTCCTTTTGGATCAATTTATGCCTGTCCTCCTGAATCTAAGTATGGGAAGGCCCAAGTCGTTACCTGGTAACATCTCATGGCCATAACCATAACTACTATCGTAGATAGTGCTAGTGTCTGATACTATGCCGCTCTAGCCCATAAACCCTAAACATACTGAGGGTTAGTAGGGAATAAGGGAATAAAACCCCGGTATAATCCCCATCTAACAAAAAATCATTCCCTTATTCCCTACTAACATCCAACAAGTAAACCTTGACCCTAAACCCTAAACCTTGGACCCTAAACCTTGGACCCTAAACCCTAAACCTTGGACCCTAAACTATAAACCACGTAGACACTAGAAGATCTGAAGCCTTTGCTGCTAGACGTGAGCCCTCTTCGCCGAGGAACCAGTTCTTGTGGAAGAACGACTTGATGTCCTGTATGGGAATGTATGTGTATATATAGAAATGTAAATATGTATATATATATATATGACACATAGGGTTTAGGGTTCGGGGTTAGTAGGGAATGAGGGAATGTATTATATAGGGATTATACTCCCTTACCTCCTACTAGTAGCCAGCATGTACACTCTGGGTCGCCTAGGGATACCTTTGTTGGGGTCCCCATAATAAGGATTATAGCATTTTGGGGTCTATTTAGGGGCCCATTTTTTGGCAACTACCGTCTGGTGTTGTATATGAAGGCTGAAACGTCTGTTCGACTTTGAGCCAGTGCTGTAGAGGGGGCATGAATAATCACACTGAGTACCTCATAAGGTAGCTTCTTACAATGAAGGCCCCCAGACAGCCAGACAGCACTATTTGAGCTATATAGTCTAAACTCCCAGTATCCCCCTTAAGAACCCCTATAGTACTCCCCTATATAATTCCCTAGATAATCCCCTTTAAGGAGTTTAGACTACAACTCATATAAAGATTATAAGAGAATCAACCATCATAAAGCGATAAGGCGTTTGCTATGAGAGATGGAAGAAATCCCTGCCAGTCCTCCGCCGGCACGAAGTCGAAACCCTTGCCCTTTGCCATGGCTCCCGGCACTCCTGCGAGGTGTGGAAGATAGATGTGTGGTTATCAAAATTATGGTCCCTTTTTGGGGTACCCTAAATATTAGGGGCCGTATTATAATAGGGATCCAAAAAGGGACCATAATTTTGACAACCACCCAGATCTACTGGATCCTCCACAATGACCCTTGTGATTCCACTCTTTCATGTTCGACTTGCCTGGAGTAAGTTAAACCTAAATCCCACATGTCCCTACAAGCCCCCAGCGTCCATTTCGTTCTCTATTTGCTGTTCCAGTTGATTCTCCAGTATCGGGCAACCCTTCATGACTCCTATAATCCATATGTAACCTTGATATCACGTCTATGTAATCCCTATAGAATCCCGATACCAGCCCTATACAATCTCAAGATAGGCTTTTCAAACCTCAGTTAAGGTTTAGGGTTTAGGGTACCATTGGCATGCCAGATTCTGGGGCCGCAGGCTGTCGATGAGAGACACATGGCAAGATGCCGGAGACGATGTCACCCGCTAAGACCTAGATAGCACGGAGATGAGCTACGGTCAATGTTTAACAAATGAGCTGCTGTCTAAACTCCTAGTATCCCCCTTAATAATCCCCATAGTAGTCCCCAATATAATCCCCTATATAACCCCCCTTAAGGAGTTTAGACTATAGCTCATATAATTCATGGACATGGGTTCCTTATTGGGGAATGTATCAACAGGGACCCGTATGTCCGTCCTTAATGGTCCCTCGGCAAGGCTAGTCTTGACTGTAGCTCATATGTAAACTCGACCGTAAACTTGACCACGTTGGCCCATGTTCGGAAATGTCATCATGGCATGGCTGCGACATAACCCTTGAAAGTCTTCAAAGCAAAGGTTGGACAGTTTCGAGAAATTGTCACGAAATAACCCTCGAATGCCTTGAACGCCTTCCAGGATTAACACCTTTCAGAACATTGTCGCGGGCTACTGCTTCTCAACTGGAGTTTGCCCTTTCTACCACCGGACTACGACAAGTTGAAAGGACCCCAGACATTACCCACTGTATCCCACTGTCATGCCTTTCCCTAGATCCCAGCCTCCTGTCAAACGCGCCGTCCACTCACTGCGCGCCCTGGGAGCTTGGCAGCCCAAGGTAGAGAGATAAGTCTTAGGGGCCTAAGTCCTTTGCGCGGGATGTGAACAGGGTTTGGGGCATACTGTACTATGCCTCCACAAGGATTAAATTAAAAAGGAAACAATATCTGTGATGATAAAGGCTTCTAGGCTGCCCTCCCCTAATATGAAATGGGGTTGTGAGGGAAGGGTTGGCTCTTATCAGGTACTATGAGGGTTTTGATAGGGAGTATCCAGGGATCTGGAAGGGGGTAACCCTCCCCTGAAGTAACATGGAACCGGATGTAGCACAGTCTTCAAGGACGTCAGTCTGTCTAGGGCCTTTTTGTGGCTCCATGTTAGTTTGCGGGGTTAGGCTCTTGCTGGCCATTCACCAACTTGGTGGATTGGGCCGAGGTTAATTAGGGCTGGGAGTCTGAGGTGTAAAAAGCAGAACAACTAGACTAGATCACCAGGGCAGAACATGCCCTAAACCTGAAGCCCTAAAGGGAGGTTTGT